TCTTTTCCTGCTTCTTAGCATTTAATATATTGTTACAATCAAATAATTAATAACGTCACTCACTCTTCCTTGCTCTTTGAGTTTTCCCATCAGACAGTTGCCTTGTTTGTTTCTTTTTTTTCTTCTGGATAGATGGAAATTCCAACCAGCATGTGTACTGGCCAGCAAAGGGAACAAGCACCTCTAACTTCTTTCTTCTTTGTATCTAGAATGTCCTCTGGGATAGGGCTGCCAGCCACCACTCCAGGCCCCACAATAGATCTTATTTTTCCTTTCTATCATGCTTTTAAAACTCTCTAGCTTACAAACTCATGCAAGAGTTTTACAGCAATTACTGAATTGTGGGTATGTGGGTTAAAAGCTGTAGACCATAGTCTTATTTTAATTACAATAGTTACAGTAAACTCTATTTTATGATAAAAAATTATGTCTTCCCAGTGGAGAGGTTTCAGTTGCCTTCCAGCCAGTCTCTCTCAGGAAGATCTTAGTCTGAGCCTATTCACTTACGAAACTCAGGTCTTGGAAATAAAATGCAAACAGTAATAATTTTTTTTCATCTGCAAACAGCAGCACAAACTCAGTATGAAGTGCTTTGGTATATAAGGAAGGAAGTAGGTAAATATTTCCTTCCAGTCCGTGAAATAAAGTTTGGCATGCATGAGGCACAGCAAACACAACTTTAAAAAGTCTGTATCTTTAGAATACCAGATCACGTCAAAAGTAATTAACTGTTTATCACGTAGCAACAGGGGTTATTACAGAGCACCAGTTCTACCATAAGCATTCATACAGGCTTCCCAAAATCTCAGCTTGGAGGACATGCAAAAAGAAAGTGACCTTGAGGTCAGAAGCAAATTGCTGTTATACATCACCAAGGACAGCATGTCAAGTACCATATTTATGTGTGAAGTGGGAAGGAATTAATGAACAGAATTCAGACAGTGTATGTTCTCTGGAGCAATACAAATGAATGATGTCTTGCAGCAATTATTGAGCCAGACCTGTTCAGATAGGAATTACTAACATATTAACATGGTAAATGATTTGTTAACCATCATGACTTTAAAATGCATAACAAAAAGTTTACATTATTTTATTCTGAGGCTTTTAACAAGTTTTTCACTTCCCAAATAAACATTCAGTTGTGAAGAGGTTGCTCAGCTATCATGAGCATTATACACAGTGCTCAAAATTTAGACTGCTAATGCAATATCTAATGTTATATAACAAGTTCCTCGGTATTTTGCATGAGGCTGACATAAATAATTCATGCCTGAATGTTCAGTTGTCAGTGCAAATGACACCCAGTGTCTGCTTGGTTTTACCACTTGATTTTTTAATTCTGAATAACCTGCTCTTTACTGCAGGCCAGATTTTGTCACTCTTGTCCCTTTCACAGAGCATTCCACAAAGATAAATCTAATCAGTATCAGTGATTAAGAAATTTGGCAAAAGACAAGTAAAAGCCATCCTTAACAGGAATAAACACTGTAAGAAATGTCCTAAAATCTCTGGCACTGAGCTATCTTAGAATTTGTGAAGGAACAGTTTACAGTTTTAGGCACCTACTTTCAAAGCACCTAGCAAAGTGACTTCCCTCTAGTGCTGCCTGAAAGAGAAAATATTTTATTACATTTTTTAACAGATAGAAAAATACTTTGTAGGCCTGTGGTAGTGTAGACAGAGTAAAAAATTCACTTTGTATTCTTTTTTTTTTTTTAACTGAGAAGGGAAAACTTTTAGGCAAAGCTAAATTGCCAGTCATTTCCCAAGCAAATAACAAGTAGAGGATAAAACTGGGTGTTAAAAGTGTGGTGGTGGGTACCACAGTACCAAGCCATCTGTGCAGTTTTTATTACAATTTCCCTCTCTTTCTCAATTTCCTCAACTGCAACTGCTCATTTTAGTAAGACAAACATTGACATTTATGCTGAGATAAGTTAAAATCTATGCTGTGCTTTTGTAAAATGATGTGTGAAAAATCAGAAGACCAAGTTGGTAAAGTAATTTCACAAGAAACAAATGTGAGATTGCTTTATAACATCATCAAGAAACCAAGTATAAAAAATACCATAGACATAATAGAATTAAATTCCTCAAGAATGGAGAAGTAGATATTTTTTTGGTATTTTTTTGAGCCTGCAGTGAACATAAGTTGAAACTGAAGCAATCTGCATATGAGAAAACAATCAAATACCAGGTCAACAGCTTCCACCTCTCAAAATAGTGTGCGAGTCAAACAGCTCCTGCTGACTGGAATCTTTTGTGCAGTTCTGGGAATTTTTGTTCATTGTGTGAAAAGTTTATGAGAACTTCACATTTAGAGCCCTTTGTATATGAATGGTTCCAAAGAAAATAAACAAAAGAAATCCAATTTAATTTAGTTGTGAAGGTTGTCAACAATTGCTGCAGCTGAAGGGGCTTCACACATAGTTGACCTGACTACATTATCAAGTATAAACTGTGCTTCAGTTTGTTTGCTTTGTCCCCTGGATACGTACAAGCATGGCCTTCTGGTGAAACATTCTTCCAGAGACAGAGAAAAGTGAGAATCAATCCTTCAACAGACTGTAAAAAAATCAATATTTTTCAACAAATCTGACACTTATTTATGGAGCTGTAAAAGGATTAAATAAATGGTAATATTTTTCTTGACTTATACATGACTTCCATGAATTGTAAAGCATATGGCTGCTTGCTATGTGTATGATGCCAACTATTCTGCCAACAAAAATTCCCCTAATAATGAAGAACTTTCTCAAAGATTCAAATGCTTCTTGTACTCTCAGGAATCATTTTTTTTGCTAGGCAAAGTTTCCTCCCTGCCTTCAAGAAATTTTCACTCCTTCTGTAATATTAATGTGATTTTTCTCTCCCTTCATTGTAAAATCTGGAAGGAAAGTGCATTTTGCTCTAATCTTTTGGCACCTGAACATTTAATTAAAAGACTCTCATATCTCTCAAAAAAAGCATTAGCTTTGGCAAGTACCTCAGCACACTCAGGAAATCACAAAGAAAATATCCTACTGTAGACCTCTGTTTACTAAAACTACAAGGGCAGACTCCTTACCTTGCTTATTCTAGGTTTGCAGTGTTTTTAATTTTTTCACTGCTGCAAAACAGGGAACTCAGCTGTTGTATATGACTAGGTCATACATTCTTCCAGATGTCATACAGAGAGCACACATGTTTGATATTTTGATGGAAGTGGAGTCATCCTCTGAGCTAGAGTGTCCTCAGTCATCAATACCGTCTGTGAACCTAAATAAGTGAACCCAGGAAGCATCTTCACATTATCTTTCCGTGCAGTCTGGTCTGCCAGACTACTTGAACTTGTCCCTAACTGTGCATCATCACGGACAGCTACATTGGTGTAAAGAATTTGTAAGTCTATCTGGATCACTGGCACAGGTCCTGCATAAAAACTGTATCCATGGGGGTCACAGCCTATCCCACCCTAATAAGTGTGAACTCAGTAAATTACTCTGAAGAGCTTTGACTTCCCTCTGTGCATTTCCACTGATACCAAATGAATATTGTTCTTCTACATTTGCCTGTGAGAATGCCCCCTCTTCAGATGGAGGAACTTGAGTGGCAGGCTGGTAGCAAAGCCATTTAGGCACACAACATCCTTAGCAGAAGTCAGTAGAATTTTCATTTGAGCAAATGTTTCTTTGTTGTACTTTCTGGCATAAGGAAGCGTGTTATGGAAGCAGTTAAATTATTTTGCCTTCTCCCCTACCCCCTCCTTTGTTAACTAATTTTTTTAAAAGATTTTGAACTAGAAGTACAAATTTTTCATTATGCTGAGTCTTTCCTACAAGAAAGACTTAGGCTAATTCCAAAAGAAGGCTCAAGGGAGAATGGTTCCTATAGACTAATCACAACCTCAGGGAATTGGCATATCTATCTTGCATGTTGCTATGCCCCACAGATGCAATTATCTCACACCAGCTGCACAATTTATTGTGACTGTTAATGAAGGACTAATATATGTGCAGAATTATACAGTTAAATCCAAAAGCAGTCACATATAAAAGACCAGCAACATTTACAGGCAATTATTGACCTAGTCAAAATATATTTTTCTGTATTCCTGGAGACCTCACTTAAGCAATGAGTGATGCTACCTCTGTAATATTACTTGTGTAAGCAAGGATACAGGATCAGGATCCAACTAACCAACTTGAAGCACCAACTGTAGCAGCATGCTGAAGTTGCAATTTAATGAAGTGTCAGTTATAAACTGCCAATTTAAAATGGATTAGGTAGTCAGATTCACAATAAAAATCCCCTCTGGGGAGAATCTTGGCCTACTTAATTCACAGGCATGGAAACAATTAAATTGTAAAATAACTCTGCATGAAGAAGTCATTGGAGAAATTGTTCCTGATACACTTTCTGCAAAATACTAAAAGTTTAGTTTTAAAAAATACTTATGTAAATATAAGAACTGAAAATGTCCCAAAATTTAATTGCAATATATAAGAAAAGGTTTAATGTGTCAGTACTCAGCTTCTCATACAAAATAAGACTATGCAAATTTATCATAAACATATTTGCCACTTTCTTCTTTACCTCCAAACTTTCCCTTGGCTTTCAAATTTCCTTAGTCAAATTCTTCTCCCTCTGTCCCCCTCCTTTCTGCCACTCTTCCAGTGAGGGCCTGCATGCATTCTTGTAACAGCCAAACCTTTGCTACAATAATGAAGTAAGTTAAGTAAATACAAATTCTTCACAGCTATTGGTGAGAGAAGGACAAATAACCTCTATTACTGAAATATATTGACTCTAGTCTGCATTAACTGGCACACAGACACATACATGCACAATTACACCTATATGAAGTCAGACTTCAAAGACAGGAAATTGATTCAAAAACTTTGTGGGACCTGAAATGTTGATTACATTTCTTTGGCACTTGGGTGCTTCAAATACCTTTACTGGAAAGACAAAGTAAAAGAAAATACTAAAATGCCCCTGATGTTAACAACACAATTTTTTTTTTTTAATATTCAGAGAAAATTCCTTGGACCATGTAATTTACCTGAAAAATGAGCAATATTCAATTTACTCAAATTAATTTTCCCAGTGTGTAAAAGCACAAGGAATTAACTACATATTAAGTAAAGTTTTGGTAATCTCAAGGTTCCATACATTTTTTTTTATGGATCATTTTTCATGGACTTCTGGGCTGTAGGCTATTTCATAGACTTGTAGACTTAACAGACTTCAAGGCTGTCATAGACCAGATGGCAAGACATGAAACAGGAATAAGCTCTGTAAAATAAATGGCATTTGATATCTTCCACTTCAGACCATCCTTCATCCTGGAATCAAATGTAGATAGATATCAAGAGTCCTTCACAGCATGATATTCAAACAGAATATAGAAAAAACATAGACATTTTGAGTGGATCTTCTGGAGATAGCAGTTTCTGTACCTAATTTTTCAATGAGTCACCTATTTCAACTGGTCATCACATGTTCACTGTCTCCACTTGCAGAAAAAAAATCTACTGATCCTTGCTGAATTATTTCAGATACAAGATTTTTAAGAGATGGGGTACTGCAGAAAACAGCTGGTATCTAAGAAAGACAGTCTTAAACAGGTATGTATGTAAATTTAATTCTTCCATTTAAAAGACACCAAGTGCAGTACCAAAAGGCAGTAGATTGAAGATCTTTTTAGTCCAATATAAAAAAAAAATACAATATAAAAATTAAAACAAATTTAATCTATGGCATTAGTTTTCAAACTCATTTAGGCACTCATTTAGCATATGAAGTAACAGCTCATATCCATCCTCCTCCTCAATAGCGGACCTTGTATGTCTTAAATAGAGGAACTCCATGTCTTGTCCCTTAAGCTTCATCCAAAATTCTACAGATTATTTTGAGCTGTGGAAATAAAAAGTAAATTTTCCTCATTTCTAATGTTGAAGGTGTTGCATTGTGTAGAAAGAAACCCCCAAATTTACCAGGACAAAGACAATAAAAAAGGGGGCATGATTTTCAGCCCCAGCAGAACCCTGGTCTCAAATTTCTGTTTCACATCCCATTTTATTTGTCTGATTCGCTGGTTTTTTTTAATGTGAACCACAAAACTGGTTCACTGTTTTTTGCTTTGTTTGGGTAGCATTTTTGAGCTTCCATGGTTTTGCTGTTGGCAGATCTGACCTCATTAACACCCTCATTGTTCATGTTGGCAAGTGGCTAAAGTTCACTTTTGTTAAATGCATCAGTCTGCTCACCCAACTAAAATAAAAATTAAAAAAAGCCAAAGCTATACCCAAATATATTATTGAAATTAATAAAAAAAACAAAGCAATCTAATGAAGTATCCAAATAAAGATAATGCCATTTTAATTTGAAAATACATTTGCAATGCCAGTGCTTTACCTGAAAAACTTGTACAACTTACCAGAGCTAAAAAATCCATGAACGTTGACAGGTTCTGACACTAATGGTTTAAAACCTGATGGCAACGAACAATGAAAAATTCCTCTGAAATCCAGGACAATGCATTACAAGCAGTTGTACAGCTTCCTAAACCAGAAATGGTGTCAAAAGGAATTTCTTAAGCCAGAAAGAAGCCATACCTTCCAAATGGAAGGTAATGCTGATGGAAGCTGATGGTCTGTCATTGGGAAAGAACATTCATCTGTGTATGGAAATTCCTAACATCTACAAAATTTTTCAGGCTGTACCTCTTAGCCAGTGCTGTCTGCAGGTGTTGGAAGACAAGGAGAAAAAAGCAGTCTTGTGGATGTTATTATCCTGCCTAAACCTTTCTAGAATAATGCAATTCTAGAAGAAAATCCTGTACCTTTAGAATTCTAGCCTTACCCATCTTTGTGAAACAGTTATCTTAGGGGAAGTTCAGGTTTGCAGTCCTTAGTGTTTGAACACTATCCTCACAGGGATCCACAAACACACAGACATAAACACCATGGCCACTGTCAGGCTGGCAAGTAACTTGTCAATCAAAGCCAGTCTAGCAAGAGGTGACACCAGGCTGTCAGAGGTGGTTTCAGGCATCATGAGAAGTCTGCATCTTGTACAGCAGGACCTGATTCATTACTAAAATAAAGGAGTCCAAAAATTACAAGCAAATGCAGCTACACAGTGAAAGAGAGCATAGTGAAGAGACACCTGAGCTAGCAAAAACCTGCAATAGCAAGCGGCAGCATTGCAGCTGAACTCCTCACAGACCTCAGCAGAGCAGATCTGGACACACTGACATTCAGTAGTGGGAAGTGTTCAGCTGCATGTAGTGCTGCAGTAAATGAGTCACTGCCTCAGATCTCTGTTAGCTCAAACATCTCCATTTCATGTGTAGACACAGGTGGGGAGATTAAATAACTATCAATTTAGACTTGCCTTCAGACATGCAACTCCTGTTTCTTTTATTAAACTATGAGAAGAATAGTAAAACAAACTAATCCAGAGGAAATAAAATTGCTCAGAGGAATAATTATAGCAACTTTCACCTCAACAGCTGGGTCACTGGTTCAAAATCATTCAAATCACTTGTGACTGAAAGTCATTACCAGTTGACTCCACTCAGTGAGCTTGTGCTTCAGGTCAGAGTAATAATTACTGCAGGACTAAAACCGCCATTAGTGGCTCCATTAGTAAGGAGAGAGAGAAAAAGAGTGAGAGAGAAGAAGTAGCAGTCTCAGTCTCATTAGTGCTGCTTTCCAATCAAGAATGAGAGGAGAAAATACTTTGAGGAATCCTGCACAGCTGAGGCCTGATTTAGCTGCCCAAACAAAGCACATTTGCAATGCTCCAGGATATCTCACCTGCACTGCATCTGCATCTCCAAAAGGACACAGGTCTTCCTTGGACCTCACCTGTCACATCTACCAGTGCTGTGTAAATATGATAAGTAGCCAACCTCCTCTTGGCCCTAACTAGATGTCCATCTGGGGACAGCTGAGTTCTGCTCTTTTTATTCCACCCTCCCTCCAACGCTTCCAAATTCAAACCACAGCTTCAAAAACTGTTGTGTTATTAATAAATTGAAGTCTTCCATTTCCCCTGTTTTTTTGTCTTTGACAACCAACAAAAACCACACAGATATTAGGAAATATTGTCAGAAAATATGTGCATATGAATGATGAGAACCAGGTATCCAGCAGACATCCACCTGGGGACCCATTTTGCTAAAGATTCCTTATGGCCTGAGAGCTGCTGTTTAACACCAGCAAATTACCTGTATCTGGGATGGTTATTTTCCTTATAGAAAGTGATATCTGAGCATTTCTATATCACGGAAACAAACTGAAGAAGCTGAGCTGAGGAGCTGCTCTAGGAAGGGTAGCCAGGCTAGGAGTAAGATTTATGATGGCTCAGTGTGTCTGGACGTGCTGATGGCTCTCTGGTACATGAACTGCAGTGTAATACAGCTGAGCTAGGATGTTAAACCCACTGTTCTGTCAAGTCAATGATAGACACAGATGAGGCCAGGTGAAAAATATGGATTTACATCAGATGAAAGGAAAATCAAAACCTTTAAGAGATGTGTTTCTTATGTTTTCAAAAGAAGCTCTGTGAAAATACCAAGTATTAATGATCATGAATCCAGAGGGCTACAACTAGAAAGCATTTTTTTAAAAGCAGGGACAAATGTGTGAATACTGTATTAAAGATTTATTATAGAACATGTCTCTTTGTAGCAATTTCTGGTAGTTTTAAAAAATACATTTGCTTATATGACTGGATTCTTTATACCCAGATACCATTCATAATAACATATACTCATAATAGCAGGATGGCCTTATTAACATTCCATATTTAAAAGATCAACTGACAGTTCAATTGGGTCTTTTAATATTGTAACAGTTTTTCTAATGGTTGCTATTTTAATTTCTCTGTCTCTTTTAAAATATCACTCTCTTAAATATTTATCTCTCTCTTTAAGCACGGTGTTTTAACCCAGCATCAGTTCCTTAGATTTTAAGAGAAAATTATTACAACACATCAAACATATGGGCTCGTTTCAGCTCCCAGTGTACACACAATTATTCAAAATAAAACACTATTATAACCTATTCGTTACCAAAACATGTGGCTCAGTCAGTAGTTTTTGCTCAGAAGTACTGTGGGATTAATTTAGCAAGAACAATACAATTTTATTTTTTTTCTCACCTCACTCTCATCTCTGTAGATCACACAGCAGAAGCCAGAATTGCAAGATGAAGTTCACCATCTCTCCCTTGCTCTGTCCCTCACTTATATTTCATTCAAGGTTGTCTCCACTTTCAAGACAACAATTGCTTTCACAAAATGGGAAATCTATTTTCAGAATTTATATTGCCTTTTGGAATTACAGAAACAGATAAATCTTGCAACACTGGTGGAAGCAAAAACTTCAAACTATATGGACATAGTATTGAAAACCTGAGATAATTCTGGAGTCTTTTTCACAATAAAGATTTTTTTTTTTCTGTTTCTATATGAGAAGGGGAAAAAAGCCTATGGGAGCATCTAAGCTCAAGGAGCCTGACCTTCTGTTTATGCCTGACCTTCTGTTAATGCCTGACCTTCTGTTAGAACAGAGAGCACTTTTGTTTTCCAGGGAGTAAATTCAAGCACTGAGCTTGGAACCATCGCTGATTGGGTCCCTCTCCCCTGGCTGTGTTTTGGGGCACCACACACAACTGCTCTCATGATAATGTCCAGGGACATTTCAAGGTATAACTTGTCCCCAGGATCCCACAATACGGTTATAAAGTAGATATATATTGGTTTTGCCACCTTCTATCCATGCAGCCTTCAATTGCTACCCCAGCAGGCTCTGCACTCTCAGGATCCTCACACCACTCCCTGGAGCAGATAAAATACACACTTAGATTCATGCTGTAAGAATTCCAAAACCTCACATTACTTCTATTTCTTTGATTTAGAAAAAAGTAGGCCAAATATTTATTGCATTTAAGGGCTGCAGGAGGGTCATGCTTAATGCAAATGACTCCAGCACCCAAATGCAGAGCAGGGAGGAGGCAGCTGCCCTGCCCAGAGGGCAGCTTTCTGAGCAAGGGGATGCAGCATGGCATGGGAATGATCTCCACCTTGTCACCATCAGCAGCATGGGCACAACCAAGGAAGAAGGCAGAGCTCTTCCTCACAACATTCACTTCACTTTCATTCCTGGAGAAGCAGGAGCCACCAGCAGCCTCCTAAGTGAATGCTGCTCTTTGGGCTGCCAGTCCCCCACTCACACTGGCAGATAGTAAATCCAGCAGTCTGAACTATTAATTATGACCCAGTTAGTTTGATGTTCACTGGGATAACTGTAAACCACAATTGGCCAATTCATGACATTTGGGCTGACTTTGAGAAGGATGTGAGGCCCATGGGCCCACTCCTGTGCCTGCCTGTGAAAGAACACACAGGACAAACAGATGCCAAATCAAACTGTAATTCACCAATGATGTGTGCTGGCATCTCATAGCTGTCAGAGGTTTCAGGCCAGAAAGCAGACCTTAAACCCAGTTTTTAAAGACAAAAGTACTACTAGCACCTTTATCTGCTTAGAAGCATATTTTCCATTTAGCACAACTCCACAACTGTCTATACAAACAGTGAAAAACTGAAAAGTAAGATTGAAAGAAACCTCTTACATTCATAAGTCAGGAACTACAGAGTAACTCTGATATGAGAAAATCAAAGCAAAAACAAGTCCTAACATGACCAGTTTTAAAAGAAAAATATATTTGCATGCACACGTGGACACGTTCTATTTACTCATATTTTTTCACAAGATTTTCTGAGTAGAAAGAATCCAAAGATCATGTTGCTGGGGAAACCGAAATGATGGTGTAATCTTCTAAGAAAGTGTGAAACGTAGAATTAACACCACTGAATTGAATTTAATAACTCTGTGCAACATCAGACCTAGCCATAAATCAATATTTAATTTTCTCAACTGTATTACAGATTAGTTGTAACCATTATATCTCTAGGGAATACAAACCATCCCACAGAGGGTCAGCCTACCCAAGCAATATTTTGCAGGATCTTCTAGTGGATAGATGACAAAATCTTCTTTCAGAGTTTGCAACATCAGCTTCCATAAATACTTAGTTTTTTACATTCTGGATAGACCCCTAATTTTCTTCTGTATTTGGTTTTACCCACTTAAGCTCAGTGATACTTATAACACATTACACCTATCACTTTTAAAACTAGACAAAACATAACCCACTTTTGGAAGGCAACAAAAATAATAATCACTAATGTGAGTGAATAAAAATAAGCTCCTACAACCACTGCTTTCAAGAAGGCTACTTTTAAATGAAAGTCAGATCTGAGCTTTAGATTACTTACAGAAAAATCTGCTGCTTGAAGTTCTTCCATATTGTATTTCAATCCAGTTTTTACTGGGAAGTGCCCCACAAGCACAAGCAAAATGAAATTGCATGGACCATAAGATGCGCTTTCACCCTTGCCTTGAAAATAACTTGTGAAAACATTTTGTGGCAGCAGCAGAGATGCCATTCCCTGAATGATGCTCTGCTGCTGCAGCATGCAGGCAGAGCACAGAGCACTGCCCCATACCAGGGCATCCCCAGATCACACCAGGGGTGGTGTCAGCAGCAGGTACTCGTGCAAAGCTGCTGCCAGACCTGGGACTCTCCAATTAACTGCATCAGATTCATAGGGTCCTTGAGCAGAGAACATCTTGATGCTACAGCTCAGTCCTCTGCTGCTACACAAGCAGAGGCTCATCCATCAAGTCACCTGGCACACACAGGTGTGCATCCAAGAGTCTATTCAAGCTGTGCCCCAGGGCACAATCTCACAGGTTCCCACATTTTTGGCAAAATTGTGCCGGTACAAAATGAGCCAGTGCTGAATGCACTCAAATGGACACAAGCTTGGCCAAGAAGAGAACTGTGGCATCTGCAATTAAGCAGCTTGAGGCTGGGAGTGGAATTTGCACTGCTTTTAGCCCTTTCTGAATTTCAACAAAGTTACTTCATCTTCAGGGATTCATAGATATGCTAAATTATTCTTATATAGGCAAACAGAAACACTTGTGTAGAATGCTTGGTGCTGCAAGGAGCAATGATTTCACCCAGTAACATCACAAACTGGCAGAAGAATGTAGAATCAGGTTATGTTCTGGTGGAAGATAAATTTTATAGTGTTCCCTTTGCCAGTAGGCTGAATTTCTACATAGAGCTAACTTGCA